ACTAGCCGTTTTATAGCCGTTTTTTTGGCTTATTAGAGCTAGATGAAACGGTAACATTATTGTTGGCCCGCGGGCCGTGCCTGCGGGCCATGCCAGTGCTCGTGTCGGGCCGTGCTTGGGAATTCTCAACCCTGTCCGTGGCACGGGAGTTGAACTTCGTGCCGTGCCGTGCTTGACTTCGAGTCGTGCCGGGCTGCGCCGAACGGCGGGCCGTGCCGGGCGGCACGCGGGCCAACCCGGCCCGTGCCCAGGTTTAGTTGACGGCTTGACTTGGAAATTGGCTGGTTATTGCCAATATTTGGCTATTTGCGGTAGTGAAACTAGTGATAATTAATTGATTAGTAATAAAACTCAAGGAAAATGTATTAAAAAAGAGAAAAAAAAAGGTGAAATGTTTAAGATAGGTTGCATAGAAATGGATACGTTACACTAACGGATATGATTTGGATACGAAGACGTCATTCAAAAAAAAAACATGAGATGTAGCATGTAAATGCAAATATCATCTACAAAGTAGAATGTCACTACAAGAAAATTGTCGTTTCGTAGCGATTTTACATTCGCTACAATATGCACATATGTTTGTGAAATAGAACTGGAATTCGTATCAGTTTACAATTAACATAGTAAACCCATATGAAATCGATACGAAAAACATAATAATATTTATTTACCATATTTATGCACAATTATAAAATTATAGAAATGCGTATCGTTTACAATCACCACTAAAACCCAAAAATCGATACGAAACGTCTTTTTTACACTAGATTTTAAAATTTTGTTTGACAAAAAGAACATAAAATATGTCATAGCTTCTCGAATAAACATTTAATATTAAAGCTTGAGGTTGCATGTTCGAATCTTGTATAGATCATATGTAGGGATTTTTTTTTTAGTAGAAAATGAAAAACATTTGTAGCGATTGGTAGAAAATGAGTTCAACATTTGTAGCGATTATAATCGCTACAATAATCAGCATGATTGAATGTTGTTTTCCATATCAATTAATAAGGACAACCCCAGCGAAAGTGAAAAAACATTACTAAAGGCTATGACAACGGCGGATATTGTATCGAATAACCATTCGTTGGGATTTTTTTTCTATAGCAATTACAATCGATACGAAATGTTAAAATAATCGCTACGAAAAGGTATTTTTCTTATAGTGTATACACTCTTGTTATTATTTTATTAATTATTTAATTTTATGCTTTGTAGAAAATGACTAAAAAAAAGAGTTTGATTTTGAAAACATAGAAAAACTCTTTTGATTAATAAAAACAATTCATAATACTTGGGGATCTTGGTGACTAAAGAAACTTAGGGTGTGTTTAGGGGTGAAAGTAATACGGTTTAAAACCGAAAACTGAACCAAACCGAACCGAATTAATAATTTGGTTTGGATTTTTTTCGGTTTTCGGTTCGGATCGGTTCCAAATATCCAAAACTGAAATATTTCGGTTTGGATTCAGTTTGGGGCTTCAAAAAAACCGAACATCGAAATTCCAAACCGAATTATACAAGCCCAGCCCATTTCCCCTCCATATATAAACCTAAACCCTAATTTTCTTTCCTTTTTTTCCATTTCCTCTTTCCTTTCTTCTGAACTTTAGATCTCCGCATTTCCCTGCCTCCCTCACCAAGTCACCACCTCCCTAAATTCTCCCCCTTTTCTCACCAGTCACCACCTTGCGGGAACACCACCACCTCACGACCTCCTTCACCACCTTGCGTGAACTATGAGTTGCGAATTCTGAGTTGCGAGTTCAGATCTTGCGAATTCTGGGTTGCGAGTTCAGATCTTGCGAGTTGCGACTCCCTCACCACCTTGCGCGAACACCTCCATCACCACCTTGCGGCTCCCTTGTGCGCACTCCCTCACCAACATCTCTGTCACTTTCACTCAAAGGTAACAGATCTACTCCATTGTTATGTTTGAATTAATTCCATTGATGTTGGTTGTTTATTTTCTGGTTTTTTCCCCAATTATGTTGGTTGTTATGTTCGAAATCTTCGAATTAATTCCATTGATTGTCGCTCTTAGTTAGTCACTTGTTTTTTAGATTATACATCATACATCAATTAGATTGTTTTAGTTTGGTTGTTCTATATTTTAAGCTTGGAACTTTAAGTTAGATTATATGTTTATATGTTGTTCTGAATTTTAAGTTTGTTGTATTATATGTTGTTCTGAGGTGTTTATATGTTGTTCTGAATTTTAAGTTTGCTGTATTATATGTATTTACGCTCTTTTACTTCACTATATATGGCTATGCATGGTAAATCTTTCAATTATTAATGCCTTAGTGTATGTACTATGCAGTATGAACTCCGAAGGTTTGAAGAGTTGAAGATGCCGAAGCTGCTGCCATCATGTTGAATATGTTGCTGTGTTGAAGCAGCCATGTTGAATTTATTAGTTGAATCTTGAATGAGGACTTTTATTGCATTTTTAAGACTTTTGTAATGTGAAATTTTATTCTAATGGCTGGATTTTTTTATTATTTTTTATTATGCTATCTCCTAATTTTGGCAAATATTAGGCTATTTTAAGGGCCAAAACAATAGGTTCAATAACAGGCCCAATTTTTTAGGCCCAAACCTAAAACAACATCCCAACAAAATTTCACTTTGGATTGGATTCGTTTCTGAAAACCGAATTATTTCGGTTTGGATTGGATTGGATCCAATCCAAATTCGTTTTGGATTCGGTTCCAAAAATACGAAACCGAATTCGGTTTGGATTCAGTTTGGCCAATAATCCAAACCGAAATCCGAACTTTCATCCCTAAGTGTGTTCTACACACCTAATTTTCACTTATTTGAACTGATCTTATTTAAGCTTAGTTGAGCTTACCTGAGCTAATCTAAACTTACCAAGCTTATTATACCTTATTGAAATTTATTTTATTTGTAATAAGTTGGGTAACTCTTATCAAAACATGTTTTCTTGAACTTATCAAAACTTATTTCTTGAACTTATCTAAATTGATTAAACTTGAAATAAGTAAAAATAAGGTGAACAAAACAAGTCTTCAATACAAATGATGAGGATAAGTGCTTGTCCATTATTTTCTTATAATCACTCACCTTATTACTTTAAACTAGTGTGTGACCCGGGCTTCGCTCCGGGTGATACTTTTAATAATTTTATTTTTGTATTAGACGCTTTAAAAGTCTGGTTAAGTTTTATATTGTGGGTAAATTAGAATACAATGACAAAAATAACTCATTTATTTTGTTTTTAATCTACATTTTAATACTTGTATTTATATATAAATGTGAATTAATAGAACGTGATTTATTTCTAGCTAAGATGGTAATATATGTTGTTTTCATTCAATGAGGTTTTGGGTTCGAATCTCTATGTATGCATTTTTAATTCATTGAATGATGTTGTGGCATGATGTTAAAGGCCGTTGAATGAGGATGTGGTGCAGTACTTGTGTGAGAAAGGATACACGTGGCACATACACAAATTTAGAAACACCTTTTAATATATAGTATAGATTTCTTATTTAACCACCTAATTCTTACACTCACTTACTTTTTCAAACGAAGGAGTACATATAATTCATCAATGAGAATATTCAACACAAGGAGAATTAACATTTCTACACTAATACTTAACAGACATCAATGCATGGTTTCTACAGGCGTCTATAGATGTTTCTGTAAAAAAAAAAGCGGAAAGAACATATTATAGAAATGTCATGTACATTTAAGTATAGTGAAAAGAACATACTGTTAAAATGTAATGAACATATACCTAGAGTGAAAAGAACATATGTCCATGTTCTTTGTTTGCATTGTAATGTACTTTTATTTATGACATAATGTTCATTACTTATTGTGAATTGTTCTTTGAATTTTGTCTTTAAATTATGGTGGGTATATATAACATTCATTATATAATATTATCATGTTCTTTATTAATATTATACATGTCCTTTAGATACACACACACACACACACACACACACAAAAAGATGGATGATCTTTACAAAACAGTTATATGTTCTTTTCAAAACAACCGTATGCTCTTTACAAAATAGCTACGTGTTCTTTTCGTTTTTTTTGCCTGTACCAAGCTTGGTACAAACGCCTGTACCTTAAAAATTTCATACAGACATAACCTCTCTCTTCTCTTCTCTTCTCTTTCATTCTACTATGATTTATTGAAACTAAAAATCAGATTAGATTCCAATTGGATGAAAGCTTTCTCAACAAGTGTTGTTGCGTTTTCAAGTTTCAAACCCCGATACCTAAACAATTTTTACAAGTTGATCTAAGCTCTTATTGGTAAAATTTTGTTGTTAAGCATAAATGAGAAAAAAAAAAAAATTATGTTGCAAAGTAATTAAGATTTACCCTTGTCAAAAAATAAAAAATAAAAAATAAAAAAGAATTATCAAGTGCTCCAAGAATCTTTAGATATAAAAAGCTATAGTGGATGATTTTCTAACCACCGCCACCCTTCCAAATGATGTCATACCATATGAAACATATTGCGAACGTAAGGGTGCATGATCTCACCCATTTGCGTAGAAATGTTTTTTGAGCTCTTTCCCAAATTAAAGTCAAGAAGAACCGTAATTCCCAAATTGCAGCCAAATCTTTTTATTTTCCCATTCTACCGTCCACGTAAGCACTGGTTAAAAAACCGGTTTTTTTTTTTTCCGGTCCAGGGTAAACCGCTACTTGAAGTAGCGGTTTCTTTGCAATAAACCGCCACTTCAAGTAGCGGTTTCTTAGTTTAAAACCGCTACTTGAAGTAGCTGTTTGTTTACAAAAAACCGCTATTTTATGTAGCGGTTTACTTTGAAAAACCGCTACTTGAAGTAGCGGTTTACCCTGGACTGGTTTTTTTTTCAAACTTGCATAATCACTCAAAAAAAAACCTGCAAGTTGTGTACCTGTAAAACATGAGATATATAGCATATTTTCAACACAACCACCATAAATAACAAGTTTATGAAGATCTAAGGAAGTCGAAATTGCAAAGTCGAATATTTTTCAATTGATTAAATATAACAAAATCCAATTCTAAGCATTTACAAAAAAATTAGTTTAGTTCCAAAATATACACTTAGCTCGGGCGTTGCTTCTTCCCATGAGGTGACGATGAAGATGATGCAGCTGTCTCCTCTGGAATGTCATCCAGGCCAACTCCAACCCCAGACGTAGTGTTGCTACGCCGTCGGTTTCTCTGATACTGGCGATGCACTAGTGGAGGAGATGTCATGATAGTATGCTGAGAAGGAGTCGGTGGACGGAAGGCACGTGCTGAATGGCCTCCACGATGAGGTGGTGGTCTGATCGGCATAGTGTGCACAGTAGAAGATGAAGACGTGGACGGTCGAGGCTGCTGAATAAGGTGTGACTGCCCCACCCTAGAAGTCCCAGTGAACGGGTATCCCTGGACGACTAATGCCTCTCGTCGACTCCACTCGTGTACATGGTCCGAATGCTGAATCTCCCAATTACGCTGTCCCCTTCGATCCTTCCTGTGTAGAGCAACGTCCGTGTCTACATCCTGTGGGATCGGCTGGTCTAACCCGAACTGACGAAGGACTCGGTCTGGGAGGTGGAACTCAACGACGTCAAAGCATATCAGAGGTGCCCGTGAACGCCAAATGTGCATGTCTGAGCGACAAATCTCCGGAAGTCGATCCATCACCGCCTCAGTATATGGCTGCCAAATCATCTAATTCCCAAAACAAGTATGTCAACATGTATATGACTAACATAATGGAAGAAATACAATGCACAAAAAAAAAGAAACACCGATTGTACCTGGTCCTCGCGCTGATGGTCAAACGCATCTCTGTAGTATGGTAGTCCAGAAGCAGTATGCGCACACGATAGATGGACACGTAACCACCTGTAAAGACATGTTAATAATAATTCTTGAAAGATAGAATTGTAAGAACATGAACTTGAAGCAAACATTGTACCTGCACGCCAAAGGGTCAACACCTCGCTGATGCTGAGTCCCCAAAATGTCATCCTCATCCTCAGCCTCAGGGTCCTCCTGTGGCGGATCTCGAGGCCTCCTAATGTATGGTCGGCCAATAGTAATATGCTCCCACGACCACAACTGTAGTAGGATGAGCGGGCCTCCAATCTGTCTTGAATCTCGCTGACATGCTCGACATAGCTGCCGATACAAAAAAACAAGAGTCGCACTCCCCCAGCTGTAGGTCGAAGCTGTCTCCCAGTCTCGAAGGAACGACAAGTAGTAGAGTGACAACATCGCCACTCTTGTCGGCGAACAGAATAGATCCCATGAGAGTGAGAATGTAAGCACGGCTATGGCGCTGAACTGTCAAGTCATCAGCTCCCTCTGGCATCTGTGAGAAGTGACGTCTGAGCCACGTCAACTTCAAAGTAGATCCCTCCAGAAACGGCTTACCGTTATCATCATGGCCAGGTCGAACTCCCAGCAACTCCTCAACTAGGTCAACCAACGCCGTAAGAAGAGATCGATCAAGCAAAAACCCTCCTCCCAAAATCCTATGTACACCGTAAAACCCAGCAAGCCTAACGTACTCTAGTACTCCGCCATCTACCCTCCACTCACGTCCCACGCTGACCATATGCTCCCTAACTGAGAGAACTCTATCAGCTACGCCACTCCAAACATCGTGGCTCCTATGGGAAGTCTGCAAGCGTAGAACAGATGGATCAACTGGGCCTGGACGAATCACCGGCTCCATGGGACCTACACGATAACAAAAAATTGAATTAATGTTAAGCGTTCGAGAAAAAACATAAATATTAAACAAGAATATATAATTAATCATGTTACCCAGATGATCCAAATCCACCAATAAGAGTAGGACATGTCTTCTTGTTATGCCCAGGTCGCCGACAAACACTGCATGCCTTCTTCACACGATTGGGACGCTCATCCATTTCATTTCGAATTCCAGTGGACCGTCGGCCTGGGCCTCTTTTCAAATCTGGGTTGGCAATAGTAGTAGGACCATTGTAAGCTGACCAGTGGCAAGGATCAGGAACTGGTGCGAAACACTTCGCGTATGAACGCCTATATTCGGCGGTCATGAAAAAAGAATCCACAAAGTCTGCATGTGATAGGCTTCTATGACGACAAACTGCTAGTACATGAGAGCATGGGAGCTTGTATATTCTCAATTTCTCACAAGTACATGTCTTGCTCAACAGATTCACAGTGTGGGAGTTACCACCTTTACCAGCTTTTCTTCTTCCACGACCGGTCCTAACCTGATACAACCCGATGGCATCATAGTCAAAAGCAACAACCTCATGGTGCGTGGCTTTCTCCATGTTGGCTTCTATTGTCTTCTTAGCCTTTTCCGATAACTCATGGCCCTCTTCAAGTCTTCTAGTACTCCAACTTCTTCTAGTTGCAAAATAGGAGTTAACCCGGAAAAAGGTCATTTGCACTAAAGCGGTTATCGGGAGACATCGAGCCCCCTTTAAGACTCCGTTGAAAACTTCCGACATGTTTGTAGTCTTCACACCAAACCTGAAACCACCATCATGATGAATGGACCACTTACTGTACGGAATTTCCATCAAGTACCTACGGGCCTCTACATTCAAGTCACCAATTTTGTTGATGTAGTAATCAAACTTCTTCTTCTGCCTTGCAGTAGCTGCTTTGCCAAAGAGGTTCTTTATGACGACACTTTTAAATTTTGAGTTCACATTAGAAGCCAAGTGTCGTGTACAGTACTTGTGGTAGGCATTGGGCTCCTCCCAACCACTTCCAACTTCTTCCATTGCTGCTAAAATACCAGCATGTCTGTCAGATATCACACATAGCCCTTTCCTATCTGTAACTCGAGCACGAATACAAGCCATGAACCAAGACCAACTATCATTGTTCTCTCCTTCGACAACCGCAAAAGCAAGGGGGAATAGTTGAAAATTGGCATCCGTTCCCATAGCAATGAGTAGAGTGCCTTTGTATTTGCCATATAAATGAGTGCCATCAATGGTGATAAGGGGTCTGCAGTGACGGAATCCATCAATACATGGCTTGAATGCCCAAAAGACTCGTTGAAAAACATGTGTTCCAGGAACCGTACACTCTAACAACCTCCACTCAACAACAGTTCCAGGATTTGATTCCTTGAGAGCTTGCATGTACTTAGGCAACTGTTCATATGAACCCTCCCAATCCCCATAAATGAGTTTTATTGCCTTTTGTTTCGCTAGCCATGCTCTCTTGTAGGTTATTTGGAATCCATCAAATTTCTCTTTCACAAGTTGCACCATTGTCTTGATTTTCAATGAAGGATCAACGCGAATGACATCTAGAAGAGCATTGCAAACGAACTCGGAAGTCAGTAGCTTATGATCTCCCGAGTCGATGTCACCAACACAGTTACTTGCATGAGGGCCGTTGTACCTCACAATTTTAAATGTAGAGAGTGTTGGATCTTTCACTCCTCTAAGCCTCCACGAACAACTACATTGTTCTTTCCTCTTGCACTCAACAACATATTTCTCTGGCTCTGCCTCCACAATTCGAATTGTTTGATTTCTAGCTATGGAGTAAGATTTCACAGCATCTTTCAGTTGTTGCAATGAGTCAAACTGCTGACCAACCTCAAATTCTCCCCCATTGTTATATGTCTCATTTCCTAACCAAGACATCCATGAGTTATTCAAACGAGGATCAACTTGCGCCACTTCATTGAAGTCTGAAGTGGGGGCGCTTCCTTTAATTGCCTTATCACGAGCTTCAATTACCTCTTCATCATCATCTTCATCAGTGTCATTCATCTCTGCATCGCCAAATACATCAACATTGTTTGGGTCAAGAGAATCAAGAATGCCTTGTGGTTGTGTGCTTGTCGAGGTTCCAACATTAGGCGATGAGGCCGGAGACCTAAACTGTGAGAGATGGTCATTGACATAATGTGGATCAACAAGCATTCTTGTGAATGACCCTATGCCCACACTTTGAACACCAGTGGAAAACGGTTGATCCACACTATCAAAAAAATCCATCCCCGGAAAGGAACCAGTGTTAGTTTGCACAACTGGCTCCTTTGGAACTTGTTCAATGAACAATTGCATTGCAACAGAAGAACTCTGAGTCACAGCAATCCACATAGCTCTAACAGCGTTGTCGTCATTTAACGGAATTGCAACATATGCCCCAGCCATAGGATAACGCATAACCACCTTCAACTCCACACCTCTAGGATCAACACTCAATTCTTCATATAGCTTGTTCAGAACTTGTGAATATGTCATCGCAGAATGTACAAACACAAATTTTTGATTCCCACCCCTATACGTTATATCGCTATCTTTGTGGACAATTTCTCCACCCCAATAGCAATATAGAGGGTAGTTCGAAACCTCCATGTTTCATTCTAGAAAAGACCATTATTAATCAAAGATATTAGATTGCAAAAATTCATTAACAGTGTGGCAATGTCCTAACATCAAGCAAGCAAACTACACAATTATAGCAACCTAAACTGAGCTATGAAGGTCTTAATACCTCTTGAAGCTCAACATGGGCATAAGTCATGACTACATGTACTTTGAGCTCATGTACTTTGTGTATAGAAGCTCTATTTTCACTTTCAAAATCAGCAATTATAGCAACCTAAACTGAGTAATGTGATCGAAACCATTAATAATTCTACAAGGGTTATATGTAAGGTAAGTAAATCAACAACAACAACCAAAACCAACCACAAACATACATACAATTCTGAAACTCAATAACAACAACAATAAACAAGAACACTAACAACAACAACACAACCAAAACCGAAACCGAAACTCAATAACAACAACAATAAACAAGAACACTAACAACAACAACACAACCAAAACCAACAACAACAACACATACATACAATTCTGAAACTCAATAACAACAACAAACTCAATAACAACAACAAACCCAATAACTGAATACAAAAAATAATTAGGGCACTTACCACAAACAAGAAGATCAGCACGTTTCTTCTGAAATTAGCGAAGCCGACCACTAAAGTCGAACCCTCGGCGTCAACAGCGGCGGCCTTCGTTGCTGAGGAATGCTCCGGCGGCGTCGGTGGATTCCTTGGCTGCGCCGGCTTCCGTTGAAGGAGGTGTGATTTTGGTGGAAGGCGTGGATGGGATTTTGGTGAGAAGACGAAAATGAAAGAGGAAAGTGAAATCAGGAAATTATACCTGCTAGAAAACCGCTACTTGAAGTAGCGGTTTATTAAACAAAAACCGCTACTTGAAGTAGCGGTTTATTAAAAAGAAACCGCTACCTGAAGTAGCGTTTTATTAGTAAAAACCGCTACTTCAGGTAGCGGTTTTGCTGTAGACCGGATTTAAAATTTCTTCCCCCTGAACCGGTGACGTGGACGGTACTTTGGGAATTCTTAAAACTTTGGCTGCAATTTGGGAATTGCGGTTCTTCTTGACTTTAATTTGGGAAAGAGCTCATGTTTTTTATTTTGGAGTATTTGTTTTTGGCAATGCTAGCATTTTTTATACGGAGTATTTATATATTTTGTGGGTACATAAAGTCATAAAGACAAAAAAATAATTACGAGTATACATAAACAAGATTCATCTTCGATCTAACATTTGCTGCAACTCCATTATTTTAAGGTTCTTAAACAATCCTGGGTGGTATTAAGGAATAAGGACGCTAAGCATCTTTCTCTTAAATAGTGCATTCAAAGCATCTCGATTGATCTAAGACTATCCAGACCAAGTGTCATTATTAAATAGCTTGTTTTCATATTGATTACACTATAATATATGCATTCAACAATTTATTATATTAGTTCAATAATATATAGGCATAAAACTTTGATAAGCTTGTGACAATTACCTATCAAGATGCTTATGTTAAAAATCAAGTTTGTTGGTTTTAAATTTCTGCTGTATATAGACTAAAGCTTTTTCAATAGCTAAAGTTATTATTATAGTCAGAATATTTGTAGTGGGCAATGTAATTATTTATCCAATTTAGTCAATGATATGTTTTATGGTTTAGTCAAATGCTAACAATGTGTTAAAATGAGGTTTTTTATTTATTTATTTATTTATTTATTTTATTTATTATTTTTTTTTACTGTCGTCTTAATTAGTAACTTCAAATTATGATCAATTAATCTATTTGTTTATTGCATGCATGCCTTATAAAATCTTATTACAAATAATTTAAAGATGAAATAAGTGTATGTATATATATATATATATATATATATATATATATATATATATATATATATATATATATATATATATATATATATATATATATATATATATATATATATATATATATATATATATATATATATATATATATATATATATATATATATATATATATATATATATGAAAAATTGTCAAAAATAAAAAGACCTTTGGGTTGTCTACGAAAAATAAAACGATCTTTTGATTATTCCAAAATAAAACAACCTTTGACATACATCTGTTCAAAATAGAACAAAAAACCGGTAACCTATATAAAAGGTTAATACCGGACACATGTCGCATTGTGATTGGTTTGACTTTTTTTATTTTAATTTTTAACATTTTTGTTATCTGAAAAATTGATTCTAAATTAATAAAAAATTTAAAAAATAAAATAAAACACCTTTTCTCTCTCCTCCGGTCCTCCCCTCCCCTTCCTCGTGAGATCACCTAAACCCCCTCCCCACCACCAACCCTCACCTCCCTAACCTCGTCCCCCTTATGTTAAGCGTAAGGTGAAAGATATGGGCCAATTTTCATGATCAAGCTCGGTGTTCACCGAGCCTTGGTTTTGAGCACAACAGAAATGGTGAAAGAGTGCCTTGGCACCAATGACAAGGTATTCTTAAACAGGACCTACAAAATATTTGTAGAGTAGGTTATAATTCTGTTATGTTTTCATTTAGTCTTTATGGCTCGTATTATGGCTCGTACTGGCGGGAGATGCGCAAAATAGTAATGATTGAGCTACTGTCCAATCATCGGGAGACAGTGTCGGGTGGGGGAAAGGGGAAAGGGAGGGAGGACGGTGTTGGGGTGGGGGAAAGGGAGGAGTGTAATACTCGATTATTTTACGATTTTATATAATATATTTTATAGGAAAAAAAAGTTACTTTTAATATAATTAGGAAAGTTTTAAACCATATTTTAATATAAATAGGACTTTATGGTTTTTTAAGCATGTATAACTATTTTAAATCCTATAAATGTTTTAAAACCCTACAAGATATTTATATATATATATATATATAAAAAAAAAATCGCTAGTCGTTGTATATGAAGGCGTTAAATTCCGTTAAACCAAACTAATTCTTTCACCTTCCAATGTGAAATTTGCAATTGACCAAGCCTCATCAAGTTCATGCGAATAATTTCTTAAAGGTCTTTGTGAACGTGGTGTAATTAACACTCTGAGTTGGGTCGAACGAGTATTTGGCTCAAAAAGGTAATCACACTATTGATTTATTGGAGTTGTTTGATTATAGATTATCATTTGTATTGATTGTAATTCGTATTATTATGTGTACATTTTATGAATTGTTATTTGTAAGACCAAGATTTATATATATGTGATTAGTATTGTATATTTGTATTATATGATTTAATTATCATATTAATTGATTGTGTTATTATGCTAGGGTTTTTAATGTTGTTGTTATCGGGAGTATTATTATTGAGATTTTAGAGGTACTAATGTAATTTTGGGTTGAGAATTGATTAAATTTGGGTATTAGTATTATTGCCCTGTAAGAGTTAAGATATTTTGTGAATTGATCGAGTATGTTGTGTTATATTATTTGGGAACATGTGCACCCTACGAATGGTTATTTGATCAAAAGGTTGAGAATTATTATTTTATTCTTGGCGTTATAGACCTTAGTCCTTGACTCCTTGGCATATGCATGTTGGTAAGGAGATGATACTCATGAGTTAAGAATGAGGTACAATCTTTATACTTCCTCCGAGGCAAAATTTGGTAGTGGAAAAAAGTAAGAGAGAGAAACGTAAAAATACAAAATTGTCCATGAAATGTAAGATAAAATAAAAAGTAAGTGTGAAAAAATAAGGGTATGTTGGGTATTTGCAGTGTGAACATAGATATTTTTTATCCTAAAAAGGAAATGATGCAATAATAAGTAAACTTCCTAAAGTAGTAAGTGATGCGATAAAAAAAGAACGGAGGAAGTATATTTTTTTTGTGGTCCCCTGTAGTGGGATTTTGGCCCGTATGTTGATCTGGTTCAAGGTGTTTTTTTGGTTATTGAGAGTATTCAAGTTTTTATACTTGTTGGTTTATTTATTCGAATTACCCATGTCCAAGGCTAGGTATAAAACAAAGAGTGTGGCACACTTTTGGGATAGATGAGTTAATTAGTAAAGGTTCGTATTATTATTCGAGGTTGGGTTTGACAAAGGTTATTTTCAGAGTACGGAGTTGTTTACCCTTGAGGTATATATGTGTAATGTAGTTTCGATCTACATTGTTTAAGTGAGCTAGTTATATTGATTATTCTATCATTCTCTGTATTCTGATATGTGGTGAATACTCAGTTTTTTGTTGACGTGTGTGTATTGTTTTTGTTGCGCCACTTGTATTTGCGGCTATGTCTTTTTCTTATGGTGGCCCTGCGACGATCTATTTTTGGAATTTGTCCTTAATGGAGAGTAGTTAAGATTGTCTAAACAGGTTGATCAAGTGATCGTAGCTAAAGGGGCTCAAGTGTTTCGAAATGTTTTGAATGAGTAAGTAAAGTTGTATAAATAGCTCACTTAGTTTTATTGGGTTGTAATTATTGGAATTTTGTAGGCCTTAGCATCTGACAAGTTGTTTAGTGTGGCAGTGATACCTCCGATTTAGGTGTATGCTCCCGCAGTTTTGTTATAAAGGTTAATTATTTTCCTTTAATTCTGGTTTATTATTAGTTAGTAAATCGGGCGTGTTATAAGGAGAGATGATGTCGCGTGAGGTGGGGGAAAGGGAGGGAAGCCGGGAAAGGAAGGGGTCTTGGTTGGGGGCTGCCGAGGAAGGTGGTTGTTCATGGGGTGGGTGTAGTTGGATGAGGTTTTTTTTTAAAAAAACTAAAATTAATTTTTTAATGAAAGAAAATTGTAAAAAAATTAAACTACTAATAGCATTGTGACACATGTCACTATTAACCTATTAAAAGGTTACAAACTGGTCATATTCTATTTTGAATAGATCTATGTCAAAGTCGTTTTATTTTGGAATAATCAAAAGGTCGTTTTATTTTGGAATAATTAAATGATCGTTTTGTTTTTAAAAGACCGCCCAAAGGTTGTTTTATTTTTGACAATATTCTATAAAACACAATGTCACCAATTATATTTTTGTTATATTGTTCATATTGAAGGCTCTTTCCTCTTCTCCACCATGGTACCATGTTACATATTCTCTCTCTCTTTTTTTTTAAGATATAAAAGCTGATTTTTTTTTTCTAACTTTTCCGCCTGTGAAATTGCCAATTGTTTCTTAGTTTCATCAGTTGTGGCCTTTATGATGACCATAATTTTTTAAATCCTTGCTTGCCATTGCCGTTGAGACTAATCAAACTCTTACAATTTTTTTTTTTTTTTAATAGGTGAGTGAAAGAACTGAATAGTGAGAGGCGTATTTATAGATTGAGTGTAGTGGCTAAACTTGACGAATCAAGAATAAATGTTGTGGTATGACCTGACACTTGTATGTCAATGTGTTTGAATGAGTTGTACGGTAATTATTTTTACCGTCAAGCTTTCTTTATTTTTATTTTTATTTTATTTTATTTTTTTATGGATGACTTAATGTACTACTTTGTCTAGTTTCTACAATCCGAATGACTCGATCTCATTAAGTACTAATATTCTTTGCATGCGATACCTGCGTGATGTTTTAAAAAATGTATAATTTATAATTATAATTAAATGTAAAATTATTTATCCCTTAAAGATTTTCTATCTCTAAATTTCAATGAATTAAGAGTATTAAATGTGTACTATGTATATAATTTAGACAAAACTTTTTATATACATCAGGGTGCACATTAAAGTAGGTGAACCCAAAGGTGGTTTTTTTGCTCATTTGATATTATATCTATTTTTTTATTTTAAGATTTTTAAATGAGCAAAAAGTTATTAAATGGGCAAAAAACACCCTTAATACACCCTTAGACCCTTGCACCAAGGGTGTATAAAAAAATTTCACAATTTTGGGAGTAAGGTAAATTTTTTTTTTTTTTTTTTACTATCCCATAAATTTCCTTTTTAACTAATATTAATTGAATATTTGATTTATTTTCAATTTTTTTATTAGCTTGATTGAATTATGTATATGGAATGTTAATTACTAGTATTTGATATTGGGGTCATTATGGCCTGGGTAGCTCAAAAGTTAAACATCAAGTTTTCACAACTTCCCCCTTTCCTTATATTCCACTACATACTACTTTTTTTTATGCACGCAATGCGTATGAGAGTAAAATTGACTAATGAATTTTAAATTTTTTTTGGCAAAAAAACCTAATCAAGGGGTGAAAATGATAAAATCATGTAGATTTTTATAAAATATAAAGCAATAGAGATAGGTAAGAGAGATAAACATAATTTATTGAAAATTTATTCGCATGATTTTTTAAGGTGTTATTCTCGTCAGATATTGTTTTGAACTAGGTAATATCTCGTGCTATGCACGGTAATTTTCAATATTTATCATTAGTTTAATATTATTATTTAACTATAAAAATTTATATCTAATTGCAAAATAGGATTTTTTTTTTGAACAAAGATTGATTCATAAATAAAAAGTCATACGACATCTACAAAAAAGATTTATATCAAACAAATACATGACAATTGAATCAAATAAAAACATCCTTTCAGCAAAGTTACGATCATTGTTGCTGCAAATCGTACATTCTTTATACCCTCTTTCACATCGCTGTGATTTACAGTCTTCTTCGACGAGGGGTTCCATCGATTTGTTGTAGCCGTGAAGAAAATTTTTGCTTGATTTGTCTTGTTGTATCGGAAGATTAACCTCTTTTTCGATCTCACACAAATCTTTACCCATGAAACAACTCTACAGCAATCCATCAAACAATGAAGGCCAAAAACACATCAATTTTTTCCATCAAAAGATGCAGCAACTCACCCCTCTCCTCCCCATCTTTTTCGTGAGTTTCAAAGGAAAATTAAGGGGGAAATCAAAGCCTAATTTGCTGCTTAAACCATCCCCAATTCGTGCTCAAATTCCTCCTCTTTCGAAGTGTCAAAACCAAAGCACTTCGAGGGTTTTCAAGAGGGCTGCTTGGGTGGGTATTTGTGCGTATTGTTGCTGCTGCTTGTGCTTGGTGTTGCTGTCCTTTTTTTCTAGTTTTGGTGGCCTATACATCAAGGTAACTAGCCTTTCTTCCCAAGGGAAGCCGGTGGTGGTGTTGGTGGTTGGGTTAGGGTTTAGGATTTTTTTTTATTTTAATTTTTTTTTAAAACCAATAAACAACTGCACGTGTACATGGCGGGCCCCACTAAATAGATTCCATCCAAGGATCCGTTAAGTGATAGTGAAATCCAATTTTTGGGTTTTTTTTTTTCTTTTTTTTTTAGTGTATAATCAAAATCGTGAGAATTTTGTGGTGTTATTTTTCTAAAAAATCCTAATGTTTAATTTACTTGAAAAACTCTTCGTATGTATATCCTCCCAATTTAAATTTGACATATCTTATATATATTAATGAAAGATAATCCATAAAGGAAAAAGCTAATTAACGAACGTCCCGGGCTAAGGGCGTTGGATAAACTAACTAAAAGTAGAAATATTAAATAAAAATGAACATTAATTACACCGATTGACGCGTGATTTTGACATACATTTCCAAATTAATACTACTTTAGGAAATATTTTAAATGCTTATCTAATGTCTAGAGGGCGTTCGTCAGCAAGATCCATAAATATACTTATATATAATTTTCAACATTAACCTTTCTTAATTAATTTTGATCAAACTTATTAATTTATATTATAATGTACCGGGGCATCGCTCGGGCCAATAATTAGTTCTAAAGTAAAAAAAATAAGAGATACAATGAAAAATGACGGACCCCTAGTTTATCACGTATGTTGATAAACAAAATTCGTTTATCAAGTGGTTAAAATGTAATTAAATCTACAAAAATGTCTAATAATCATCATGTCATTGTTGGCCCATATTTAATAAAAAGTTGTTGATTTATTTGCATTGTCATTTGATAAACAAATTATAAACTTGTATTTTCACATGAAAAACAACTTAAATAAATGTTATTAATGCAAAATAACTTAACTGGATCACTTCAAGAAAAAGTTTATAAGGGATTGGTTTTTGCAACTATGTACCTAGCTTAATATTATGAGTATATTGGTTAAATTGTAATAATTAGATTTAATTTATTATTATAAGTATAAGAAATATATTCATTAACAAAGAGTCAAAGAGTGTATGCAAATAATCCATATATAGATATGATTGCCAAATGTTAGGTACACAATATTCAAAATAGAGAAAGAAAAGAGTATTATTTGTCTTTTGAACTACTATTACTAAAAAAATATATGTAATACATCAATAATTTTGCATAAAACAAGCAAAGAATGAAATTACTCCATATAATGTACTAGTCTTATTTGAGACTAGTTAAAATAAAATTGTATGCAAAAAAGTACATGGAGCAATTAATTATAGATACATGGATATTGGATAACTATGAAATTTCTTCTTTACGTACAATTACATGCACGAAAATATAACAAAAGGATCAATTAATATCATGGTATTCACAAAGTATCCTTGCAATCATTCCACACCCATCAAGGTCATACATGCAACCTTGTAACCAATCCATACAAAGTTAAAATTACAAATTAGAACCAATTATACACCATTGGATACATTTACATATATCCATGCAAAAAAAAAAAATAAAAAAAAAATAAAAAAAAAAATAAAAAAAATATAGAACACTAGTCTTCTTTGTTGTTGTTGTTGTTCCTTGTTGCACACATCTTTTGTAGCTCTTCTGCCAAATAAGTGAAACAATTTACCTCTTGCTTATTCTCAGGGTTCTCTCCTGGTTGACTAGTTGCCTCCGTTTTTGTTGGCTCAGCCACCCTGGTAGCAGCCACAACATCATCTTGATGATCTAGCCCTGTTGGACTTGGACTTGACAATGGCACAGGCACGTTCGCTTCATCGGTTTTGACATCTTTTACTTCGAGTTTCTTATCATCTATAGGTTGTTGCTCAATTGGTGCGGCCTTCTTGTATGTTGATGTGAATGCTTTGTATGCTTCCGTAAGACCGCCTTCTACCTTCTTGAACTCTTCCTTGGCTTTACCTTGTAGCTCTTCCTTGGCTTTTTCAGCTCCTTCCTTTATTTTGCTAAAGAACTCTGGTTTCTTCTCTTCAGTTGCTGCAATCACGTCCATAAACGTTGCTTATCTTTATAACAGTTTTAGTAATATGTATGGAGTAATAATTTAATTAATTATCATGGGGGATATTTATATATTTCCAGAGGGGACCTTTTACCGGGGCCATTTGTGGCCCGGCCCCTGATAAATTATTGTAATTATTTAGTTAATGAACTTAAATAAACTTATTTTACTCATAACATATCAGGACATAATGATTAGTTTTGAACGAGAGGTAAAAGATTTAAATTTTGGCCCTTCTAATATTTTTAGCCAAGATCCACCACTGTATATTTCAACGTCGCAAATTTAAAATTAAGTTAGGATATCAATTGTCAAGATTGTGTTACGCATATTTTAAGATAGTAAATTGATCATTTATTAACCGGTATACTCTGTATATATTAGGATGATAAAATTTGACACTAAAAAAGTACATTAACATTATAATTAAAAAATTAAAATTTACCTGGAGTTGACTCTTTGCGTTCGGCAACTGGAATAGCCTTTGTCCTGCAATATTATCACCAAAACAATCATATTGAGTATTTATCTTACTTTGAAACATATGTATTCAATAACTGTACGTTATGCTAAAACACTATAGGTCCATAACAAGTTCTTAATATGTTAGTCCAAATCATCACTTACATATAGATTAAAAAGTATGAAGTGCATATAATCCGATCCCTTAATTTGTTCCATAAAGATGTTCTAGCGTTTTGTTTAAAATCTGTTATATAAAAATGTTTCTTATACCATGTACTTTAATTTCTCCGTTCCAATAATATTACAATAAGGATGAAATTACGCATCTAACAAGATTGTAGCTGGGGATGTAAGGGAAATCCCTTCTAAAATGTGCTTGGTGAGATTTGACCTCTGACCCCATGTCTGGAAGTCGAAGAACTAGCCAACTACTCTACCCTCCTATCTCACGTGACCCATCATATATACTACGTATATAATTAAGAGGAAGCCCCAGTTTATCTCCTTGATAAACAAAATTCGTTTATCAAATGGCAAGGCTGTAAATAAATCAACAATTTTGCCTAGTTATCATGGCATATTTGTAAATAAATAAACTAATGTGGAGTCCATTTTTATTAAAAAGTTGTAGGTTTATTTACAGTTTTGCCATTTGATAAACATATTTTATTTATCAAAGAGATAAACTTGTATTTTCTCTATAATTTATATGTATATATGTTCACTTTATTCATTATTTAATACACTATTATTAACACTCATATCGTCTCTAAATATCTTTATCTCATCCTTATAAAACAAACGGAGTTGATCATTTCAAAACTAAATAGAGTAAACCAACAGGGACACCCTTATGAAACAAAGGGAGTAGATTTCAAAACTCAATCACCCGTGGCATGTCATATATAAAGACATTACCGAGAAAACAAAATGATCCAATGATTTACAAATTAGATAGGCAAAAACTTACAACTCTGCAGCCAGGTTTTCTGCCTTAGCATGACTAACCACTTTTTCAATAATTTTTGGAGCATCTTCTTTGAGTTTTTCTAGGAGAGTTGCCGGAGCAGTTTCTCCGATCACCTCAGTATCAGCTTCAGTAGTGTTACTTGGATCACTTTCATCAGCATCCTCCGATTCATTTTTCTTATCTACCAACACCAGCAAGCTAGATCAGATATTATTCGGCTTTATATTGCTATTAATGCTATATACCGTTACTCTATTGATATATAGACTAACACTATGTTTTGATAAGAAGAGATAGAGAGAAAGGGAGCAAAACTACTGCCCTTGTTTGGATAAGAGAAAGAAGCGAGGGAGATGAGTGTGTAGGAACTAGGAATGAAGAATCCATTTTCCCTAGCCTCCCTCTTTAATAAATACAATTCGTCCATAATTGAAGAAATTTGGAAGGAAAATGGGCACTCAAGCTGGCTTGAGTATAATTGAAGATATTTGGAAAGAAAATGAGACGCTCAAGTTGACTTGAGTTTGATAAATTAATAATCAAACGATTATATATGACTTTATTTTATACTCCGTATATATGTCAACAACAATCTTATGCATGATATGGTACAATTAAGCTCGTTAACATATCAAATTAATACGGAGTAAAAAAATTCATTATGTTCATATGAAGGTAAGTTAGAGTACGTAAACAAGAAGAAATTTTCAGCGCAAGAATATTCAATTTTGTTGAAAAGTATGAAGTAATGTTTGAGTACAAAATACGGTTACTCTTGTACAAATAACAAAATATATAGTTGAATCGGATTAATGGTTGAATTAATCAAAGGTACGTATTTTATGTGGGTATATAGTGTATTTCAGCATATTGTATTTACATAGCATGTAATTCAAGTGATATATGTTATATATTTCAAAAAAAAAAAAAAATGTTATTTGCAACTATATTTTTGTACTATGAAATAGATTTGTTTTGTCTTTTTTAGATGTTACAAGAATAGAATAAGTAAATCATCAATTGTTTAAAATTAGTAACCATATTGTTCACTTATACACGTACTTTATATAACCTGGCGTGATGATGGATATAACTTTTTTTTTATAGATTAGGAACTTATTATAAAGGTTGATTAAATCAAACTTGTAAAACCCATACACGTTTTATTAATTGACTGATAGACACAATAATTAATTATCTTTGCAAGTTGAATGGAAAAAAATGCCTAATATTATAACTAGAAGAAATAAAAATTAAAGAGATAATAGAAGATAAGAGAATACCTAACTTCTTGCTTCGGGTGAACATCTTAATGAATGGATTTGCACTTTTCTTGGAAGACACGGTACGTGCTGGGCTTTTCCCAAAGATCTTGAAGCTATTTGTCTTCGTAACGCTTTTGTCATCGTTACCTTTTCATTAAACCATAATTCAACCATTGTTAATCAATAATTCACATTGAAAAATATATGGAGTATTAATTAGAGGCTTTTAGTAAAAAGATAATGAAAAAAAAAATTAAAAAATGACATACATCCTGAATAACTTATACAAGTACTTCGTATTACCTTACCGCAACCTATACTTTTAACCAAATAGATGGTTGTATTTCATATATGCAACGATATATATAAGGCACATCATACATGCGCCCTCTTATAAGGGATGCACACACCAATAAGGAGGACCGTTGTGGCCTTACTATGGGCATTCTATATCACATCTAATAATTAATCACATGATGCAATTAAAAAAAAAAATAAAAAAAATAAAAAAAAAGTAAGAGCATAGGAGATTACTACTTATGATATTAATCAATAGTAGACCATATAATAAACTTCTATTCCAACAATATTATGTTGCTTTTGTTTCATATATGCAACGGCATGCGAGGAGCATGCACATCATAGGCGAACACATGTGATTATCAGCAACAAGAAACCCATATAAAGAATTAAGAAACATAATTAAATACACATACCTGCTGATAAATCCGCCATTACGACTAACAGATAAGGAGATTAATTAATAACAAGCAAGTGATTGTTCTGAATAATCTCTATTAATTACTTCTTGTGAAGTAATTAAGCTAGGCCTTTTCCTGCTTATGCAATTCTGATACTTCCGCAAATACACAAATGCAGAGAGCAAACAGAAGAGCAAAAGAACAGGCCACCTTCAAAACCAAAAACTTGTTAATTAAAGAGAAGAAATAAACAAATTTAATTAGAGAGATTCTTCAAATTTTATTAATTACTTGCTTAAGTTGAACTATATTGTGTAATATGATAATGTTAACTTGTTGAGCACTAAGATTAAATTTATAATTATTTGGTTATGTTATGAATCTTTCTCCTGCCAGATTGGAGAGGGTCCCACAAAAATTGCCAAATGGTGGCTTATCAATTGAGTTTAGAGGTGAAAGCAATATTTTGTAGTTACGTACAGAAGGCGTGATGGCACGGTCCAATGTTAAGTTGTACAAGTTAGACAAAAAATTTATAATATATAGTTTTCTATTTGATTATATTTGGTAGAATAGACTGATTGATTAATGTTAGTGTATATAATTGGGTGCATGATCTTTGATATCATATTATGATTGTTAAGTACCTTTTGTTTTTTTAACTTGATCTCTTTGTCTAATGTCAACTGCTTTATGCGTTGTTTTATGGAAATACTTGGTTTATGAGGCTTAAAAGCCTTAAATTTAAGTAGTCCAAATGTATTATAAAACTTGCTTAAACTTGGATTAACTTAAATGATCATATTTAAAGCCCATGTAAGGTTTTGCAATGATTATATTTAAAGCCCATGTACGGTTTTTGTCAAAAAAAAAAAAAAAAAAAACACTTATGTACGGTAGGAAGAACTATAACCCATTGATTTGGCAAAGACTACTAAATTTATTACACATTTTGTATCACAGTCCAAGTCCAACTAGACCTTATCAAAGTCGGCCCAGCCTAAAATTGGGCCGGTTCAGGTAAAATTTTCCGGCCCGAAAGTTGAATTGTGAATTTTAGGCTCCGTTTGGTTTGATATAAAACTTTTTCACTGAAAAATTAGTTTTCATGGAAAATATATTTTTCAGGAAAAACACAATTGTAAATTAGTTTTTCTTCATTTGGTTGCTTGCATACAAGAAAAGTAAAAGAAAAATAAAAAATAGGAGTGGGAATGTAAGGATGGATGAGATGAAAGTAAAAAGAAAGAAAGGAGAAGGAAGGAAAATGTGGCTTTCCTTGTTTCGTGAAGGAAAATATTTTCCATCATTAAGGATGCAATTTTCTACCATTAGGAAAATTGGTTTTCACCCTTCACAAACCAAACAAAGGAAAATAGAAGAAAAAAAAATGGAAAACTCTGAAAAACTCATTTTCCATGAAAACATTTTACATCAAACCAAACAGGGCCTTAAATGAAAAAGAAGGGAGAATAAAAGGTTTAGTGGCTAGGTGGCGCACAACCATCGATGGTAGGCGACAACATAATTTTGAGCTGCTATGGATACGTAGCATCGGGTTAGTTAGGGAGGGGTTAGAGGCTAGGGGCATGAGTAGGCTAGCCGAGGTGTTTTTAGATGGCCGGTAGGTGGGGTTGTTGATTTTGGTTGTGGTGGTGGTGGGGAAGGAGCTAGAGGGAAGAACAGAGGAGAGAGAAAGTGTAATTGGAGGGGAAAAGGGGGTAAAAATTAAAAGCGGGGGTATTGAATGTGAGAGGCACGTGGGGTAGTCAATGTCGGAAAACATGATCAATGTCTTGAAACTGGTGTACGGTGTGATCTTGGGAAAAAATAAAATTTAGGTTTAGGTGTGTTCTTACAAAAAGTAAATTTATAAGGTGATTTTTCAAAAAAAAAAAAAATGTTTTAAAAGGTGATTTCTCCCAAATTTTCTAGTAGAAAATATAAGTATAAAAATCAAAGAAAACAAAATAATAATTGAAAAAAGAGGAAAGAGATAAAGCAAAAAAAGACTATGGATCTACAAGGCCAATAAATCATTCTTCTGCATAATTGCAAAAATCAAAAAGTTACTTAATCCAGTTTCCTAATGTTATCTCTTTTTCTAACCATTTTAAAAAGAATACAAAACCAAAACTCAACAAGAACTTGGATCTCTTTTATACATTTAGAAGCACCATGCATATGCATAATAATCTATCAATTGAATTGAGCTTTTTATCTAAAAGCAATTTGTTCACGAAGTAGATTACAAACAACAACTAGGTGTCATTCAAATAAAATTCTATCTTTAACTAAAATATATCTAAATAAAAACAAAAATTCTATCTCAAAACAATTTGTCAGCATTGTCTCATTGTTATAAATACTCCCTCCGTCCCTCACATTTTGCTCCATAGTGTAATGTTACTTTATTAAGTTTTGGTTGGAAAAAAGTGATGAGAGAGAAAAGTGGTGGGGTTAATGGGGTGGTCGTGAGAGTAGAAATGTGGACCCATATATCCAAAAATAGAATGGGGCAAAATTAAAGGGACACCCTAAAAAAGAAATTGGGACAAAAATTAAGGAACAGAGGGAGTACAAGGCTAAGAATGAAGGTAAAGAGAGGGGCTTATAACGCCTGTGGAACTCGGCGTTTACTATGTCAACTCCAAGATCAATATTATGGCTATGTATTGCCCTATTGCATTGATCTTGGGATTGAGATAGTAAACAACGATTTCTTTTTATGTGATCCTTGAGATCATGGATGGTTTCTTCTCTGGTGAATGCTCCTCCTGTTTTTAACTAGATGGTCATGTGGATGATGTTAAAGCAAGCCGGGTTGGGTGTGGTGTTTCGGGACGGGTGATAACACGATATTTTACACGATTTCTATGTTATATTTGATCATGTATGATTGTGTATTCTCTATTCTCTTTAGGAAATTTTGTCAAAAACCTCCTTATAAAATAACTTTTTTGTGAAAAACCTCCTTATAATTTTTTTTTTGTAAGATCATACCTTAAACATAATTTTATTTTTAATTTTTTTTTTTTTGTGCAAGGTCATACCTTATGTCGGAAAAAGGGATTTGACCCTGTTTTTCGGCATTGACTAACCTAGCCCCACCCACGAAACCACCACTTCCCCAGCCCCACCCACAAAACCGCCATTTCACGGTTTTGACCACCCTAATTCCACCCAGGCCCCTTTCACGGCAGCCACCCCTCCCTCTTCCCCAAAACCCCCTCCCCTTTCACGGTAGCCTTCGCAACAACCCCGACCACCCCCTCCCTTTCCCCCCACCCCTTCCTCCACCCCCATCCGCGCTCCCCAAACCCTAAATCCACAATTGAACCACCCTAAACCCTAAATGACTTAGGGAAGAGCGTTCAAGGTGGTTTAGGGGTGAAGGAAAGGGAAGGGGTGGTTTTGGGGTGGCGAGAAGTGAGGGTTGTTGGCTTCGAGGGTGGGGGTCGATTTCGTGGAGTGGGCGGTTTCGTGGGTGGGGTTGAGGAGGGGGCGGTTTTGTGGGTGGGGCTTGGGTAGTCTTTGCTGGAAATAGGGTCAAACCCCATTTTCGGCATAACGCATAAGGTATAACTTCGCAAAAATTAATTTGTTTAAGGTATGATCTTACAAAAAAAAAAAAAAAAAAAAATTATAAAGAACTTTCTCACAAAAAGTTGTTTTATAAGAAGGTTTCTGACAAATTTTCCTTCTCTTCATAACTAATATCCATCATATTTCGATATTGCTCTCCAATAAGGCTCGATTTCACAAATATCAATGGTACATTTCACAATTTAGTGGTATCGATGTTAAATTTCTAAATATTTATGAATTTACTATGTTATGTAACAACAAACAATTTCGATATACTTCATATAATAAAGATAACGTACGATAACAATCTTGATGTTGTTGATAATAGTAATACGGAAAAAGATAACGTACGATAACAATATTATTGTTGTTGATAATAGTAATACGGAAAAAGATAACTTACGATAACAATATTAGTGTTATTGATAATATTAATACAGAAATTATAATTTGAGTATATGATAGGTTATTCGTTCTAATCTAGTATATAAAAAATGTAATAATCAATAAGTATTAATAATCAGACTTGGATATAAATAATAATCATTGAAAAAGATATCTACCAAACAAAATACCAAGAATCAAATTGCAATAGGCATTAAATACAATGGTTTCCAAACTAACCAAGTAGACACAAGAAAAATTCCTATGAAGATTTTAAGTCCTTAGCATGTTATGATTATGGCCATTAAAGATATTTGAGGCTAGTTGCTGGGCCAACTTAGGGAATTTATTGCGTATTAGTTCTTAGATTTTATGACAATCATACATTGACCTTGTTCAGCATATACTTGGTTTCTAATAATTAATTCTCCCTAATTTTATTTACTTGGTTTCTAATATTTTATGGCCATTAAAGTAATTTTTTTTTTTGATACAATTGTTCAGCATATAATTGGTTTATAGTAATTAATTCTCCCTAATTTTATTTACTTTACTATTATTTATATATTTTGTTAATTTTTTAATTTAATATAATGTGGTCGAATAGCAACGATGTGTTTGGCACTTGGTAGATAGGTCTTAAATATCTTAATTATCATTCGCTGAAAGCTAGTTTTCAACTAGTATGAAAGGGCTTAAACAGCTTAATATAGGAGATAAAAGGTATTTTGGTGATATGAAAATAGTGTTAGTTATATTTTTTAGAGAGTCACTAAGGCGGATGATAAAAATCGATTGTAAGATCTCCTAGAACTAGGAAGAAAGTTTTAACCACTTAAGTTATCCTTCACTCTCGAAATTAGTATTAGATTAATGAGATATAATTTGGAAAAAAAAATTTGTGTATGTATTTTTTATAGTTATATTAGGAGAATAATTCTTTAGGGTTATACAGATAAGAATTAAGATACAATTTAGTGTTATCACGAATATCGTTTGCATATCTGGTTATTCTATGAGATGTCGGAAGGTGTTAGAAATTACTACCTAATGATCAAGAGTATCTAGGTTATCTCTTGTATTTATATTTGATTATTAACTTTAATAATAATCAATTAGAGCACTTATTGACTTAGACAACCTCGTGATATCTATCAACTTCATGCACTATGGCACTATACGTGCTTATGGCTTTTGCCAAATTTGTATATAATTCCAACTAAAAAAAAAAAAAAAACGAAAAATTTAGGGAACACAATTTTTTATAGCCCATGCTTTATAATTGATGGAAATAGTTCACTCAATTAACCAACACAAACAAATAACAATATTGATAGTCAAAGAAGCTTACTTAAC